TGGACCGCGGCCACGCAAAATGACCTACCACCTCACGCAGATGCTCATCGGGCACTGTTACTTCGGTGAGTATCTGCACAGTATAGGGGCGGAGGCGACGGCGGAGTGCTGGCAGTGCGGGGAGGTGTTGGACTCCGCGCAGCACGCCCTGGAGGAGTGGCCGTCGTTCGCCGGAGAGCGGCGGGACCTCCGACAGGCAATTGGGTGGGACTTCACGTTGCGGGCCGTAGTCGAGGCCATGGTCAGCGACGAGGGCTCCTGGAAGGCGGTGGCCTCCTACTGTGAGAAAGTAATCTCGCGGAAGGAGGCCGACGAGCAGGAGCGGAAGAAAACCGATCCCGCTCGTGGATTAAGTAGAGCAGAGAGGAGGGCTCGGAGGCAGCAGCGTGCTACTGCTTTAGTAGGAGCCCTGCCTCTCCCGGCAGGGGGAATTAGTACAGATGGCCCGAGGGCCCCATAGTACGTGCAATCTCCCCCTCCCCTTCGAACGACGGTGCACGAGGCATCGCGAGTCGGGCGGGGCGGTTGCCCTGCGAGCACGCGAGTTCAGAGGATTACAGTCGCGGTGAGCCCTCGCGATGGTCGCGGGGCATCGGACCTGGAGGGTGAGAATGGGGATATCACTCCTGTCGCGACCAGTTCAGCATGCGATGGCGTTGGGTGGTGCCCCCCCCCCCGACGCTGTCTGAGGAGGTAGAGGCGGTTAAATTCCGTTCTTGGGGGGGGGGGGTTCCGATCCCCGCCTTGTAACATGGTGTGTTTCTCCCTAAGGGGGAGCAACATAGGCGGGGCCGACTGCGGGAAGTCATGCGATCGTGGTACTAGCGGTCGGCCCAACGCCTGAGAGGGCCACCGAGGAATTTTAGTGAGGTAAGAATTCCACACGAGCCGTCTCTGCATTCCCAGCAGAGGCGGTAGCCCTGTTTCTCCTCGTAAAAAAAAGGTTGTTTGGGATTTGGGATTTTTGACCTGGCTTGGGAAACTTGACCGTCGCGTCGGAAATGTGTGACGTAGGACATTTGCCGAGGACACCCGAAACAGAGCGCACACGGATAGAAGTAGAAAACGCTTGTGTTGGGGAGTCGCCGAGTAGGGCGTAGTGGGGCAGAGCTCACGGACAGGCTAGAATGTGCTTGTGTAAATACCCTCAGGAGGCATGGAGACGGTAAGCGCTCGCACGGTTATCCCACGATTCTGGCATCAGTGCAAGTTCCACGATTCTGGCATCACTGATCACTGCCCCTGAAGAGTCTTGAATCAGGAGCTGTTAGATCCCTACCTGTAGAGAAGGAAATACCGTTTAGGAAAGGGCAGAACACCTAACCTAGAAGCCCTTGCAGTAATACCGATTCAGCGATTCAGCTAGTTTATTCTGAGCGTTCAGAGGTAACAACACAGTGTGATCGGGACAATAGCTGTAAACATTCAAATCGAAAATTGAACTAGAGGAAGAGAAAATTTCTATCTTCTCGTCCATGACGAAAGTCAAATCATTGGTGCTAAGTTGTCATATAATGGACACGTCTTACGCGTGTTATTTTACAATCCGCGTAAAGTAAAATTAGATCTTCACTCAAGTGCTCACCTGGTTATGAAAGAAGTCAAGGTTTTATGGGAGAAAGTTCGTATTCCAACACGGAAATTAGATAGGAGCATTGAAAAAGTGGAAGCATTGTGCCAGGAGTGGAAGACATTGCAGAAGACATGCAAACGCCGCATACCATTGCAGAAAAAATGAGAACACGATTTTCTTCAAAAATGAGACGGTCTTTTCGACATTGCTCATGAGTATGCTTTGGATACGATGAGTATTGAAGAAAATAAAGCGTTCCCTATAAATCAGAGGAAAAAAGAACGAGCCGGATCTTACAGAGGCGACCGCGTCTTATTAGAGATGGAAAGACGACAAACACTTCGTCAAGAAAAAGAACAGTTGAGATGTGAGCAATATGAAGCAAGCTTACAAGGTGAAGGATATTATGTTGTGTTTAATAAACTACACAGTAGTTCGGTTATTTATTTATTTATCGTTTGTGCGGTCACGACTAGTTCGTACTGCTCTTGACGTTGTCTGCGATACAAGTCTCAGATACCAGTGAAGTCTCCCGACGCTTCTTCTTTTCGGGAAGCTCTCAAAACCCGGAAGTTTTCCTAATTGGTTAATGTAGCGCGCAGACATTAACCAATCAGGCGCTTCCTACATTCCCAATCACGCCACCTATTCCTTGCGCTCTTAGCGCGCTGCTTCCGGAACAGGGGTGTGACTTGGCGGGAGTGTGACTCTTGGCGGAGGTTTGGCAACGCCGCGGAATTTCCTCCAGGTCCCCAAGGCTCGTGACGTGGCCGATCGCCGGTCATCTGGCCCCGCTTCGCAACCCTTCGGAAACTCGAGGTTTATGACACCCGCTTAGCTATTGAGGCCCTTGACGAAAGTTTCTAAAGGCAAAGATATGCATCGTATAAAACTGCAAATGAAAGCGGAAAGAAAACGGCTTTCTCAAAAATAGCTCTGCTGGTGCGGGTGTTATATCCTGTTAGGAATATTACCTCTTTTCCTTGCACATTTTTACCATATTACTTCGCAACGCGAAGAGCGAGCGAAAATCGTCAAATCAGCGACACGTGAAAGCTACGCGCGTAGTCGAGAATCCTCGAGACGTTGACCGACGGGACGTTGACCGACGGACCGGACGGATCAGCAATATCGAAACACCGCCACGACGACTCGAGAATTCCCTGACGAACAATAGCTTGTTGCTACCCCGTATCTTCCACGTTCTTCAATAAAGGAAGGGGAGAAAAACATTATAAAAGAACTGTCCAAACCGGGCAAGAGGGTCTTTGCTCTTCTCTTCTTCTTAGTTAATCTCACGGTTTCGACTCTCGCGTTAGACGGTGCTTCGTCTACTTTTTCTTCACGCGTAACGGCGAGCTGAGCGACAGCGGTCACTCAGCTGTTTAGTATCGGGTTTCGAGACGAGATCTCTTCCGTGTGCGACGCGACTTTGCGATTACGCGCGGCCTAACAGGCGAGTTCGATAAGACACCGGACCGCGAGTGCGACGTCCGAGACGGTGACAACGTATCCCGCAGTGCCCAACCCCTGCATCACGGCTCCGAGCGCCAGCAAGTATTCCGCCCCTTCAAGGACCCGAAACCCCGACTGAACCAGCCGCAAGCGTTAATCATTCATCACCATTGGTATGTTAAGATTTAATGTATATTTTATTTTATTCATTGTTAGAATATATCTTGTTGTTGTTATAAACGAGAGTGATTTTCTATCCCTCCCGTTACACATCCTAATTACGTACATCACCGGTAAGTTTAGACAGGGCGTGCTTTAGCACCTTAAAAGAGCCAGGACCCGAAAAAATAAATAAAGTAACGACCGCAACGCGGGACGTAACACGGGTATCATAAAACTCGCCAACCATTTGCACGCCAAATGTTCTTTCTTTGTACGTGCCGTTGGCCGCTACAAAGGTATTTATTTTTACATAGTTATGTAATTTGTGTTATCCGATATTACGTTTCTTTACTCTCATGTTTTTATATGTATCATTTAAATAAGAAAAAACAGCGAAGTTATCATCATCATCGTCTAAAGATGAAGAAGAATTAATCGAAAATCCGTCGGAGTCTTATATGGATGTCTTGAATTTCTATAGATTTTATAAATGAGGATCCTTCAGACTGGTCAAGTAATCCTAATTATAATGTTGTCTTAAATGTAGTACGTAATTTAGCTGTAGTTAATGATTCGGCAGAACGAGGAGTCAAACTCATGCAAGAGTTTAATGAGGCACTATCACGTAATGAACAGGAGAAACAATTTATAATGCAAATTGTATCAGATTATAGAAAGCGCTCTCCGGACACAAAAAAAACTACTCCAATGAAGAATTTGTAATTTGTTTTTAGGATTGTTTTACGTCTATTAAAAACTGTTGAAACTCAATAACCGTATTTCTTTTCTTCGCCTCCTTATGGTATAATATTCACCACTTCAAGTTAAACATATGGATATATTATTAAATATGAAATATTATTGTCGAACATTCGCTCATCAACTTTTTAAATTAATATTATTACTAATTTACAAATAATATAAGAAAATATCTGAAAGAATTAATACTTTTAGTAAAATACGCAAAGTATAATATTTAACATACATATATAATTAAAAAAAACATAAGTATTACTTGACTACTATATTGCAAAAATTATATAGTGGCACTATTATTGTCAATATTATATACAAATTAAAAGTCTTTTCTTCGCATATTTCCATTCATAACACATTTCATATTTATTTCAAACTTCAACGTGGATGTGCCACGTCTTCCTGTTATCCGATCAACTTCATCTTTTACAGCAATTATTATCTTACTCAATGGAACAATTTTAGGGGGCGGCGTGAAAAAAATCTCGCAAAAGAATTTTCACCAGGTATAGCTAAGGTCCACCCTAATGTACATACATACATATATGTGTATGGCCCCGTGTCTGGCTTCACGGGTTTCACTGTGCGTGGATGCGGTAATCTTTGAATCGCAATGTACTTTTACTAGAACGCGCAGGACGAGAATCAATAGTATCGTAGAAAAGGTATACAGTGGAAAATTATATCTTTTATTGTGAAAATGCGCATAAAATTGCTTGATGTTTATTCGTTTTGTCAGAAACAAATACGTCGTCTGCCTTTATTTGTTTAACCCTTCGTATGTTATATACGCAACCATATGTTTATACTTGAACATAAAATACTATAAATGTAATTTTTCAAGAACAATATTTACATTTCAGTGTGGTGGAGGAAATATATTTTTATATGCTGTGTATTTCCATATTGCATATTCCAATAAAAACACATAAGAAATAATGTAAAAAGAAGAGTAAGTAGCACATACAATGGTATAGTATTAATACTATTTCAACTACATGGAAATGGAACTGTACAGGATTGTGATTTAATATGCTTAGAGCTTAAATTGAAGATGGATGTTCATGATATTGGGATTGTTGCTGTTCTGGGGTCAGTTGGAGCTGCAACAGGAGCGATTTCAGCAGTTCTTGTGTATTCAATTTGTGTTCGACGCAGACGGTCTCTTAATTGGCATGTATACCTAAATAATTACTGCTGAATTATTTTTTAAAAGTGAAGGTTGAAATAATTTATAAAAGCAATTACACATATGTATATACGCTTTAGGTTTGAAAAAGATTTATTAAACAGAGCTGAAGAAGCAGTACGATCATCAAAAGAGGTTTTTGTTGGCTTAGGATCTAACGTTTCTCTAAATCGAGAGAATAAGACTTCAAAAAGTAATGATAATCAATCTGATGTAGAATGGCAGTCTAATTACATACTTGATAGTATCGCAAGTGACTCACCCAAAAGAGGTAATTAATAATATAAGCGATATAAATTACATTTAATTATTATATTATACTGAATAATAATAAAACTAATATACTTAACAATTTAATGTTTATTTTGCAGTATTACAATATTTATCAGAATCGGAAGATATTTCATCACCTATTAACACTTTTGCACCGCCACTACCAGAAGGAACAGTGGCTGCTTCTGAAAAACGTATGGTTATTGTTAAGCCATCAAGGAGTATAATTAATTCATGTTCTAGACTCAATAGTAGTGAGACTGAGACAACTTCTTCCTATAAGGTACAAAAGTTACACCAAAGTTAGACAATATTTTACAAAAATATTTCTATTTAAAGTTTAATTTTTTATGCAATGAAGCTGTCTTCTTCCACATCAGTATCTTCATCTGATGAAATCAGAGGTGAATTACAAATTGGTTTAATTTACGATGCAAATGCTGGTATTCTTACTGTTAGACTTGTTGAGGTAATTTCATACATATATGTACTATTTTATTATGCATGTACAGAGTTCAATTCTTCCAAGGAATTCTCAATTTAATATGTAAAGAAAATATAAAAATTTGTTTATAAAGGCACATGATCTTCATGCACGAGAATTAAGTGGCACTGTAGATCCTTATGCTAAAGTTCGTCTGTTGCCTGACTGGAGTAACGTATGGCAAACTAGAATACATAGGCGAACTTTGAATCCAGGTAAATTTCATATAGATAAATTAAGATTAAATATTATTTATGAAGATTAATAAACGTAATTTGAAATCATTTATAATTCTCATTATAATTTGTAGTATTCGATGAGGATTTTGTGTTTGAAGTTATGCCAGATTCAACACTAGCGGGACGTATATTGGAAATTCTACTTTATGATTTTGATGCATTCTCCAGGCATCATTGTTTGGGTTATATACAACTCCCTTTATCTTCAGTGATTGATCTTTTGGATACAACTCCCACTTTTATTACAAAACCGATTCTCCGATATAGTACTGATAGTGGACTCAAATTACCATCTTTAGGAGAATTAATGGTTTCTCTCTCATATCAACCAGCTGCAGAAAAATTAACAGTTATAATTGTCAGAGCTAAAAACTTACCTAGTATTAATGACTCAACAAACGCAAATCTGTATGTAAAAGTAAGTATGTGAAATATATGTATATGATTATTTATGATATAAGTATTACTTCTAGATTATTGAAATCATAGCTGTATTATCTTTATTTTAATTTTTCAAGGTGAAAATAATTCAAGATGGCAAAAGTATTAAGAAAAAAAAATCTAATATACAACGTGAAACAATTAGTCCTGTATGGAACGATATTTTAAGCTTTGATATTAATAGTGAAGTATTGTCCAAATGCATAATTGAATTTATTATTTTACGAGCAAACGGTGAGCTGTTGGCTAAGTGCGAGGTGTCTGGTAAATATCAAAAAGAGCTTTTTTATCGTGTGCTATCAGGAAAGGGTGCATCTGCACAATGGTTACCACTTTCTGAACCAGAAATTTATTATGGTGATTTTATGGAACTGAAAGATTAATAATTTTATGACAAACCGTCCCTCTTAAAAGTAAGTTAAACCATATACCTCACCAATTTATTATTGTAATAAGTATGTTTATGTATATGTAAGTTTGCGTTGGAAATTTTTTTCTAGTCATAATGTATACACACTGTTATTACTAACTAGATGTACATTACAGCACAAAGTGTATGTAACGGAAAAAATCATAACAGTTATGCTGTAGTATCAACCAATTGTTTCGATTCAATTTAAAATGGAAACATGCAGTTGCTTGTCCAAATTTTTGTAATGAAGCACCTTATTTATAACGACACTATAAAATATAATGTTTAGTTATTCCATTAATTAATCAGTGAATATTAATTGTTAAAAAATGAAAAAGAATATTAATGAATATTAATGAAATGCATTTATTTTTGCAAACAATACATCACTTCAATCTTAAATATCTTTATAAATGATATTCACAATAAAAACGTTCAGACATGTTCTAACTTATTTTCATCTTAAATTCATTAATAAATGTTGGTTGATAGTAGCTTTAGACGTTTAAACGCGAACAATGATTTTAATTGCAGTTTTAATATTTGTTTGCTTATATAAAATGTAGATAAAGTAAAAACTGTATAATGATTTTATAAAGTTATAATGATTCTTCCTAATCTTTTAATACAATTTTGATCTTGTTATGTACATGTAAATATTGCAATTAAGGAAATACATTTCTTGATTCAATGTACGGTTCGTACAGCATAGAATATTCTACGACAATTTAATTTGTAAAAAAAATCCTTTTTTTAATTTAAAAATATGTTTGTGAAGTTTTATCATAGATTTGAACCTCTGATTGATAGAATACTCAATATTGCACATTACCTAAATATTGAATTAAGTATTTTGAATGCATTTATGTGAATATGAAATAAAGGAAATGAATTAGGAATTATGATCACAGAAATTGTAATGACAAGAAATTACACTCAAACTGTACAAAGAAATAAAAATATACGTATATATTTAGCTTTATCCAGCAGTAAGTTTAAATTGACTGGTTAGGATGATACCTTCAATACTTTGGAATTGCGAATATCGATGATACACCTGTTATTGAATCTTTGGCGGCCGTCTGTGGACTGGAAAAATGTGAAAAGGAAAGGAGAGGGAGGAGCGTTTCGTCCTGGGCCTGCTAGTGGACTCGTCAGTAAGGCTACCTAGCAGACCCTGCCTTAGACGCGGGGATATACGATGGTCGGTTAAGGACGTATAGATACGAACGAGGAAGGCTTCAGGTAGTTGCGGGAAAGGTGTTAACTCGGTAGACCTCTGATGGCGAATGTAGGAAGGAAGGTAGTGCCGTCACAGTACCCCCTTGCCAGTGATGAACGATATCAGAGGGAGTTCTTCTTCCTAATGTCAGTTCGTGTCGAATCCTTTGAGTAACAAGCGAGGACGGGGACGTTGTGATTGGTGTCCACTCGATGACGATCTGTGTGAATGTATGCTATCTGTCGTAGCGGGTATTGTTGAGGCGCTGTCGCTGTCGTCCAGCTGCAGGAAACCCTGAATGGCGAGCACGTTGCTCGTGCCGAAGATGCAGGATCGTCGTGGCCAGGCGCGTCGCCTTGGAACCTTATCGAGCCGTATATGCTGCTGTCCTAGAGTGGCCATTGGGAGGGTGAGAGGATCGTGGCGCTGCGTGCTCCTCCGTGCGTTGCTGAAGGCCACCCTAGGAGTGGGATTACGTAGTCTCGGCAATTGTAAAGTGATGTCCATCCATTCATCCTTCTGGTAGGCGCGTCTCTTGCGTTGTAGGCTGCTCCTGGTTGTCGGTCGGTCTCCTTCGTCTGCTGCGTATGTTCTTCTCGGGGTTTATGGTCGGTGTATACCGTGAACGTTCGACCTTCTACCGCGTGACGAAACTGCTTTACCGCCGAATACACCGCTAACAATTCGCGATCGTACGAGCTATACTTTTGCTGTGCAGGCGACAAGGATTTCGTGTGGAAAGCCAAAGGTTGCCAAGAATTTCCTTCTCGCTGCTGTAATGAGGTACCAGACGCAGCCAAAAGTCCTTTCAACTCTTCGTCTGAATCTTGTGATCGAGCTAAATTATCGTAATTTAACGACGCGGTCACGGATTCGACTCTCGACAGGGCGTCTGCTACCTCGTTTTCTTTGCCGCTAACATGACGAATATCAGTAGTGAATTGACACATAATCCAGATACCTGAACTACCTGGGCGTACACTTGTCCAGCTTTTGTCTAAACGCGTAAACGAAGAAGGCTTCAGGTAGTTGCGGGAAAGATGTTAACTCGGTAGACCTCTGATGGCGAATGTAGGAAGGAAGGTAGTGCCGCCACAAATCTTTTGATGAATATAAGGAGAGGTTAGTCGGAGTGGTGATAGGGTGCAGATGTGGATTTTAGCGAAACGACAAAAACTGCATTATTGTGGAGACAGGGACTAGCACGTTCACGAGCCGACTCAGCCGACGCCACAGCCTGCGTCCAGTTCAGTCACACCCGGCAGTTTCAGCACGTGAGCTAGAGTCAGTAGACCCTGTTCGAATCCCAGTGTAGCGGTTTTACTTTTCATTTTTAATTATTTTGTGATTTCACTTTGAAACCTCTCAATAAAATAAAAACTTGTAAAATATTAATTTGTGAGGCATTTAAAAAGAAGAAAATAAATGTTTTCCACTTCAATATTTAAATTTTTTATTATATACATAAATATGTTACATATACACAAATTATTCTTACAATTAGATGTTATTCTTATAACTCTATACATTACTACTTTGAATATTCGTACAAAAATCTATTTGACTAAAATGTTACTTTAGAAATCTAACTCTGATCGTTTAAAATTGTTAGCTTTACTAGTAACCTCTCAGTTAAGTTTAAATGAAAAGTTAAAAAATATATATTTGCGAAGAATTTTTAAAATTCGATTTTTTTGTTAATGTTATATTTCCCGTGTCCAACAACTGTTGCAGCTGGTCCACGTCCACGCATATACAATGAATGGTCTTTTCTATAATACATTTAAAAAAAAAATAACCACACAGTTTAAATCGTAATTGAAATAATATAAGATTAAATATTAATGTTGCTATGAACTTATCTTTTTTTTTGTTTACTTATTCTCTAATTTTGCTTCCTAACTTTTGAGTGGTCCATATACATATGTATATATTAACGCACGGTGTGTCAGCGGATCACGGCTCATGAGGGGCGTACAGTCACATTAAAGACTCAACGACGTGCAGGAAAAGTCGGTAGAACAGCTGTTTACTTACCCCGTAGAAGATGTCGATAACTTGTGCCCGCGGTATTTGAGTCGAATCCATCTGTATCGCATTAACTCTGATTACTCGATAAAATTCGCAAGAAACGTAAATATTTTCTTACGAATATTATCGAGTAGAGAGGGTTAATGCCCCCTCTAGTTGTCACGTATCACAATTGTCCTGTCCACGAGTATCCACGAAATTAATTCGCACATGCACGTACACCACAGAAGTCCGCGAAAAGTGTCCACACACACTGAGCCATTGTCCCGTCCGTGAAAAGTGTCCATAACACATTGCGCGATTGTCCCGACCGCGAAAAATGTTCACACACTGCGCGATTAAGTAGACCCGCGAGCTGTTCCTCCGTTGGATTTAACACTCTATAGGTTACACAAAACTAACACTCAAAATAATTAATTGATAACTATTTAACACTAACTTTTATACTAATTTTTAACACGCTATAATTAATAAAATCTACAATACTTAATAAAACCTACAATAATTAATTTGCACTATTTATAACGACGACATACGCGACAATACTAAATAATCACTACGTAATCGCTAAATAAACTAAAACTTAGTTTTCCGAACATGAACTCTATTTGCTCGTAGAATGCAAACGGCACCGTTTGGAAAGGACGACTGATATTGTTGAACTGATCCTCCCTCGTTAGGATCGATCTGGCGTAATAGGTCGATCCCCACTCTTTCATGGTCAATACTTTTTGGGAAGGAAAAACAGCATGGGAAAGTGTCTTGGAGGTCGCGTTTCTTTTCGTACATTCTTAGAGCAACATCTGTATTTTTTTCTCATACACCACTCGGGGCCTCGAGGTCACTTGGCCACGATGCCAAGGGTGTGCGAGTCTGGACATTATAAAACTGTCTTGTCTTTTGCAGGAAGATCATCCGCGGATTGCCTGTAACGTCTTACTGCCATCGACGAAGACCTTGCCTATTGTGTTTTCGGCCGTCCTTCTTGACATTAACTTGTAAAAAGAACTTTCAACCTCGAATTCCAACTCCATGTTAGAAATGGTTCATATTACACCAAATGTATGTGTTTAACAATTTTATTTATTTTAGTTTCTTAGTTTCTTCATGCATCGTAAAGAAGGTGCGGCAAATTTCATCTTAGTTTCATTCTAATATCATTATACGTTTTCTATGATCCATGTTAATTGTATATAATTTTTTTGTGGATACAAGAACCTCAAATACTTGGAGTAAGATCGAAGTGGTAATAAAATATGCAATGCACATAAAACATACAGTAAGTCAATATTCAATATTTCAATATTTTTTTTACGCGCAAATGTATACAGGGTGTCTCAAAATTGTCTCACTTCCGGGAAATGAGGGGTTGCTGGGGTGAATTGAAATCACTTTTTCCTTAGCGAAAATGTTAGTTGCGGCTTTGTTAACGAGATATTAACGAAAACTCCGGACCAATCAGAGCGCGAGTTTGCCGGCCGAGTTCCCGCGCTACCGGTGGCTACACGCTGCGCTTGTACTATGAAATTCCGAAGAAGCAAATCGGCATGCATTCCAGGAAACTATGTATAATACCAAATAAAAAGGATGTAACAAATCGATCTTTTTATCATCTTTCGTTTGTCATTTAATGTGATAAATAAATGAACGTAAAAGGACGAATACATAATTATTGTAAATTGTAAATTTCTTTCTCAAATAACGTATTAACGAAAAGG